GAACTGCCTAGCCACAGACTCCCGTTAATTTTCTGTGCGCTGGGAAGTTTGTCGCAGTTGTGCTATAAAGAATGGATCTGTCCCAGTTTCGCCTGTTTTGTAACTCTCAGAGGTTTAAGCCCGCGGTTGCTGCAGAGCTCTTGCATGGGCGGTCTAGGAGTGTTGCGCAAATCTATGTTGTTATGCAATTTATTTTATTTAATACTGCCTGGTGGCACAGCATACACCACTATCCTTGTTACTTTTGTCTATTTCTCGTGTTTCCGGGATTTACACTGGAATCCAAAAAAATGACTTCCAAACCGTTCTTTAAATTGTAAGGTGCTGGTTAAAACACGGCTTGCTACCGTTGCTTCGTTGTCTTTTTGTGGTTCGGGTGCGGCCTGCGTCCGTAAAATGCAGAATCACACAAAGGTGTTCTCACTCGGCGCCTCCACGTAGGCCCATGGGGTTGAATTTCAGATTCAGAGGATTTTAATGAAGTCGATATTGAATTTTTGGTGAAAAAATATTATTGCAATGAATGATGAAATATTTTTACCCACCCCTATTGGCAAGAGTTACATGAGAAGATTAATACCACTCTCATGTCTGTATTCTGAAACTATGAAGCTACAGTCAGCAGCTGTTGTCATATTTAGTGTATATGAGAGTGGTATCGATCTCCTCATTTAATTATCGGCAAAAAAAAAAATCCCAAAATGTCAAGCTATTCCTTTGACATTAAACAGTTATGTGTAATGGCAGACATGCATCACTAAGGGACATTTCTTTCATTCCAAACACATTATTAGATGACTTGACTTAAGAGTCAGCGATATGTGAATACTAAACTTTTTTTAAACTATCAGTTTTGAAACTGGAATAAGTTTGTTTACAGCTGCTTATGTTGGAATAAAACAGAGCTGCACTTTGAATCACAATGAGTCGGGAGTTGTGGAAATCTCATGCACACATAGGCTACTCCTCATGGGATATGAGTATGTACTGTATATGTGAAGGGGCTTTAAGCTTGATAGAATGGACACAAAACACAAACACTGCCTCACGAGTGCCCTCCCCCCTTTCAAAGAATAAGATATAATGTAAAAAAGAATATATATATATATATATATATATATATAAGGTTAGGGGATCTATTGGTAGAATATGGCAGAAGTGGAATATAATATCCATAGCTACGTTTTCATTGTTGTTTTTGTTACCTTAAAATGAGGCACATGTAGGCTCAGTCCTTGCCTCGATTCCAACCTGCAGCCCTTTGCTGCATGTCACCCCACTTCTCTCTCTCTCCCCCCTTCTCCTGTCTATCTTCACCTGTCCTATCAAATAAAGGCATAAAAAAGCCCAAAACATATATAACAAGATAAAAATAAAAGTCTATTTCAGTTTACCTTCTTTCTTATAGTGGTGAACAGTGTCATGAATGAAAATTAGCCTTGTATTGCATTAAAAACAATGAGCAACAGTATGTTGTGAGTATGAACACATCATTCGGTGTTATTTGGGAAAATGAGTTGTAAATATGACTTCAAAGGAAACAAAGTATGACTAAAATTACTTGTTAAGATAAGAACATGTCATGAACAATGAATTGACACATAAAAGGGAAGTGACATCACAAAAGTCCCTTGTTCCTCTTCTCGTCAAATGGTCTGTTCAGTAAATGTCATTTCTGAGGGAGTAGCTGTGTCGTCCTGGCCCTAACTGGTAAGTGTGTTGATCTGATAAAGGTATGATTTCTGTTATCTTGCTGTGAACATGAGGTCCAGTGGCGGTAAGCTACCAAAAGTGTCTCTTCTTATTGAGTCTTAAATATTTTTTTCTCAAAGCAGTTTTAAAATATCTAAACTAACAATATTGAAGTTTGCCTCTGTCTTATGTCAAGACCTTTAGACAACAGTAACGTGTATTCTAATAAGAATAATTTAATAATGTATGAAGCAACATATGAAGGTCCTCCCATTTTCTAGCAACAAACTTATTTAATGTGTATTTCAACTGATAAAAATAGACCTTTTTAAAAAAAAATGTTTTCCATCCAAACATAGAGGGCAGCAAAACATCAAACCATTGTTATACAGTACAGTATTAGTGTCTGTTAAAAACCTGTCTTAGCCTTTGAGGTGTTGGTTTATGAAAATGTTAACGTTTGTAAGATGGTGCTTGTGATGTATGATCGGTCTCTCAAAATAACGTATTAATGTAGGTGGTATTTGGTTTACGTTAGTTGTCGTCTGTTTGTTATTGACAGTGTTAATTTTGATTCTACCTGATGGATAAATGGTTTGCTGACGTTTTTCTGTCTAGAAATGAGGTCAAACTGAATATGAATTAGGGCATTGTGGAGTATTTTACACATTCATAAACACAGACTATTGGACTACAAACATGCAGAGATCATAATGGCTATAATGTAACAGTGCCAGAATCTGCCACTGCACACAAACAGAGATGTGAGAGTCCCTGTTGCCACAACAGAAGTTTCATTTGTGTATGTCGGTTTACAAAAAGCTGAAGTTAAATGTTCGATGTGACGTCATACAGGGCAGCTCCTCACGATAAACGTGACCTGCAGCTGAAAGGACTGATTCAGTTGACTCAGTCAAACAAAGGGCAGCTGATAATCGTAAGACTGCAGTAACATGTTTTTGTTGTCGACTGATTTGTTGGAGGGTAACTGCTGGTTTTGCAATGTAACTTTAAAATTTTTTTGCAGTGTGCATTGCTATGACTGTACCACTGGGGAGCGCTAAAGTAAAACAAATCTAATTCTACATAGAGACCGACATACTAGTTTCTGCAATTAGGACTCTTCTATTAACAATCACTAAGACCTTGACTTAAGGATACTCAATTAATATACTGAATATAGGGTATATTTAAGTCCTCTGTCCCTAAAACAAGCTTGGACTGCTTAAAATCTATCAAAAGACAAAACTCCCCTTATGTTTGTTGACTTATTGGCTGCTTAGCCATTCCTCTCCATACTGGCCATGAAGTGATTCCTAGCATGATCTTTGTTCTGTGCAAGAATACATTCAAATGTTTAGCTGAACCTAATATGATGCTTCAGCGATCTGAGATTCAAGTCTGTTTTGCTTTTTTAGTACAAAATTCCCCATGTGTGTGTTCTGGGTGAGCCGTGGCAGAGGGAGGCGTCCATCTGTTGAAATGATAACATTTTTAAAAGTGGGCTATTTAGTATTGTCTTACAGATAGGTTTTTTTTTGTTTGTTTGTTTGTTTTACAGCTCCAGCCTTAGCATCAATTTCCTTTTTTCCACCTTTGACTTTGGCAGTTTGCGCAATTTCTCCGGACATGTGTTAAGACACAATGTGTATCTTCTTTCCACAGAAAAAAAGTAGAATTTCCCGATTGAAATCCTTAAAAAGGCTTCCACTCGTTCTACCTAATTAAAAATCTGATCTATGAACAGGTACATTTAGTTCATTTCTAATACTGGACACAAGCTTTGTCCTACTTCACTGAAAAGTCCATTCTCAGTGTATGTGCACTGGTGGCTTCAAGTTTCAACATCACGCTTATATAAGTTGCGTACTGGACCAGGGTTGACTTACAAACTATTGGTGATGTCACAAATCATGCTCATAGGCCCCGCCCCTTAAAATAAGACTTTGGATGAGCACAGAGAAACTTTCCATTTTCAGCGGTACGTGTGAAAAAATCCTTCTAGTGTCAAACTCTGCCTGCACATGCAGCGGTGAAGCTCAACATCCAAATAACATGAAGAAGTGATGGGGGTGGGTGGTGTGGGTGGGGGGGGGGGACTTTAAGTTAAGTTGCCAAAGTAAGGGAATGGAGGCATAAAAGGAAGGGAATAGAGGCATGAAATGAATTATGTTTGTATTAAGACATGTGTTAGGATATTTGGGAATTTTAATGTGTTGTTTGGGAAAGCACACACTGCTGTTACTTCTCACCACATGGCAACAAATACCCAGAACTAGCCAGTGTGCCTGTAACTAAAGTGCTAAAGTGACACAAACAGCAATAAAAAGGGGAACGGAAACAAGCAGCAAAGTAGACCAAAGATAGAGTAAGAGAGAGAGAGAGAGAG